GCATATTTTCACCTCTGTGCCTAATTAAAACAATGCATAACAAAAGAAAAAGCAATTAATCACGAACGTGTCGTAGCTTAGCTAAAATTTATTCCTACTTAATAATAATTATGAATATGTGCGTAGTTTAATGAGTGAAATTTATCAACTTAAGTACCAAAGGGGGTTCATTTTCAATGGATTTAGACCCAACTCTCAACGGTGAAAATATGCGATTCTGACTAACATTTTTTATCGGATTCGTATTTGCTCATTTTTTATCCATTTGGCATGAAGAAGATATCATTCAACAGCTAAAAGCATGATCTTTCCGAATGTGAAAAAATCTCGTTCATACGCAGAGTAATTCAGATACAATAGCGCGCTGAAGTTCGATTACCTTTTTTTTTATACACCCTGTAAAGAGTCATTCTTCTTTCAGTTGCAAAACATTTTGTTAATTTTATTAAATTTGCTTCCGCTTTTTTCAGAACAAAGGCCAAAAAGGAGAAAAGGTACTTCTAAGTTTACTATTTTTTTTCTAGCAGTTTTAAATAAACTTTCATAACTTATTCACGTTAAAACCACCTCGGTTGAAAACGAAGACTAGTATCGATTATTATAATAAACCTTTTTTCATTTCAAATTTATGTAGGGTGATAGAGGCGACTCTGGTCCTGTGTTTACAGTCAAGGTAAAACATTTAATAACAATTTATTTACTGCATATCAAAAGGCCGATTTTGTAACCTAAAGCTACGTTTACACGCTGCGATTTGTCGGGCCGATTTTGGTAAATAATCGATGCCCCTTCTTCGACATTTAGCGATTTAAACGTTGAATTGAAGCAGTCCGCTCTCTCGTTTGTTTATATTATAGTTTTCTGCGTGCGAAAAGTTTTCAACAACTTTACAACGGAAGAAAAATCGTTGAATCGTGAGAAAAATCTGTGAATTGTTATAGATTTTTCTCCCGATTTTGTGAGCAAGGTGCTGACGCGAGTACTCACGACAGGTTATTTACATACAGCGAGCAAAATCGGCCCGACAAATCGCAGCGTGTAAACGTACCTTTAAACGGTTAAATTACATCAGTTTTTTTTTCCTGTCCCATCACCATGTATGATTTTTTTGCCACTTTCTCTTTCGCAGCGTTTTTTTTTCAATAGCTTATACTATTTAGATTCTTTAATTATAGTTAACGTTGAGTTTTCTAGCTTCATGCATTGCTTTTAATAATACATATTGCTATGAGGTATAACATTTGGTTCAGGGCCTCTTTTAAGGATGTGTAACTGGAGGGGACATATTTAGCGGGGGACCTGGAGAAGTTCCAGTCGGCAAGTCTGTGTCGCTGCAGCTACCTGCAGCATATATATGCATGGTTTAACTAATAAGTATGCGCCATAGGGCCTAGGATTTTGTGACTACCGAGTCGACCACCAAAGGTGGGAGCCACTAGAGGGGTCTGGGGGCATGCCCCCCAGAAAATGTTGGATTTCTTGAAGCTCAGATAAGCTATTTCCAGCACTTTGAGGAGTTTTCCAACAAGAAATTAACCTTATACTAGTCCCTGAAAATCAAACCAGCTGATCTTCTGTGACTGGTCAAATCGATCCCTGCAACCATGCTGTTTTGCAAATAATGGGGCAGGATATTTCTCCCTCAGTTTGTTAGTGCAGGTTTTTTTTTTTGTTCAGAATAGCCTTGCAGGAATTTTTTTTTCAAAATCACCTCCCCCCCAAAAGTTAAATGGTCGGCCCCTAATGACACACTGCGGTAAAAACGAGATAAAATTTTTGCTTTCCGGTGGGGGGAGGGAGGTGCGAAATGAAGGGGGCCCAAACTTTTGAGTTCACCCCCTCCCCCCAACAGCACGGCCCTACTTGCAGGCATGATCTCCAACTCTCGTCGACTCTTGTTAACTTTGAGCTGGTTGAAAAAACGTAGAGAGGTTATCATAGAGCTGGTACCTTAGTAATGACTGTCTTCAAGGGCCCCTTCAAGCTTCAATATTGACACAATGCATACTGAATTCAGTTTGTATTAAGATCAGTCACTAATATTTCTATTTCCATCCAGCCCGACAGGGGTGAAAAGGGAAAAAAAGGGGAACAAGGGGATACAGGCTTACCTGGACCCGACGGAATTCCTGGTGTCACGGTAAGAAATTTTAAGTCTTCTCACATTTAGTGAAATTTCCCCGTCACAGACGTGGGGTCTTGCGCAGAGTCGTGTTTTGTATGATTTTCGAGTCAAACTTAATTTCGATCATTAAACGCGACCTGTTTTCTTTCCTGGTGTAAGAAGGCTCGAGATCCACATTATACAACAAGTAATCTGTGGTTAATTACCATCTTGAGAGGTTAATTTTGTAATTTTAATTTATAGTTACTTTTGAAAAGAGGTAATTTTAATCGGAAACAAACCAAACCATGTAGTAGGCGTATTCTGTAATCGGAAGCTATAGTAAATTCTTCAAATTTGATCTTACAGTTTGGTACGCTATTCGCTGGCTACGAAGTTCGCTAGGTGTCAAGCGTGTGTAAAGCTGTAGTATTTCAGTCATTTCGCGTCCAAATTACCGTATTTTCAATGGGGAAATGCGGTAATTTAATTTTGCAGCTCTGTTAATGGAAACTAAATTTCTCTTTCTATCCAGGTAAACGTAAAAGGCACAAAGGGAGACCAAGGTTTCAAGGTATAAAAGTCCTACATCTCTTTAAGAATGCATTTGTACATTTATTTTTAAATAAACTTTGCTGAGTCTATACTTGAAATATTTCTAGGGAGAAAGAGGCGATCCAGGACAAGCTGTCTTTGTCAGTGTAAGTCATTGCAAAACATTCAATGTGATTTCAATTTTTAAATTTCTTTTAAAACGCATCGCTTCTATTTTATTTAGGGTAAACAGGGCCGAATTGGTTTCCCGGTATGTATATATAAAGCTTGCATTCCTTACAGATGAAAGTTGAACACTTTTGTTTCGTTTAGTTTGGTTTGATTTGGTGCAGTTTATTTATAGTTTCATTTGAGATGTGATATCGTACACCGTTTCAGCTGTTTTTAATTCATTTTGTTGGAAGCAGTCTTAATTTGGCTGCAAGGTTGTTGATCTCAACACGCTTGTAACAAGTTGTTGCAACGACTTGTTATTTTGATCTAGACAAAAATTTCATCACAGCTTGAAAGAGCATCACAAAATTAGTAATATTCCAAAGTTTCGTTGCGAAATGCTGTAAAATGCGGATAATATAGCCATGCGAAGTTTGCCGTTTTTCAGTCATTTTGTATTACGCACGGGAAATTGACAGTCCAATCGGGTGTTGGGGCAACAATTTCCCGTTTGTAATACAAAATGACTGAAAATTGCAAATTTCGCAAGGCTATATTATCCGCATTTTACAACATTTCGCAACGAAACTTTGGAATATTACTAATTTTGTGATGCTCTTTCAAGCTGTGATGAAATTTGGTCTAGATCAAACTTTAGTCTATAATGCAAATGTCCATTTAGTCCCGCTATGCAAATTCAAAATTATCATTATTCATTTTTTTAGAAATTGATTGCTGCAGCATGAGCTCCACCTTTGAATTTACTATATGAGTAAATTCTTAAACACGTCCGAATTTATCATTATGATAAATTCGCGACACATTTTGAATTTATCAATAGAGTTAATCATAAAACCACAAGCATTAGACAAGATTTCTTGTTATAAATGTAATGGCACTAAAAGGGAGGCTGTTCGCGCGGGGCTGGGGAGTTCTTCAAGTCCTCCAGCCTCCAGAAAAGTTTTAAAAAGTTTTAAAAGAGTTTTGAAAAGCAAGAAAAGTTTAAAAAGTTAGATTTTTAAAAAAGTTAAAAAAATTTAAAAAGTTAAAAAAGTTAGGGTTAGGGGTTAGTGGTTAGGGGTTAGTGGTTGGGGTTAGGGTTAGTGTTAGGTGCCGCGAATTTATTATTATGATAAATTCAAAATTTGCCGCGAATTTATCATAATGATAAATTCGGACGTGTTTAAGAATTTACTCGTATAGTAAATTCAAAGGTGGAGCTCATGCTGGATTTGTTTTCACAGGCCCAATGAACACGAAAATATTTGCATAGCGGGACTATAAATCGTCGGGCTGCCTACGCTACTGGTTGTGAGTGACAACCTCGAAGCGACTTGACTGATAAAATAACAGCATTGTTACACAACTTGTTGACAACCTTGCTATAAGCCTGTTGCGAACTCATCTTGTTGACAAATTGTAAGATTTTTACGTGCATGTCGACAAAAAAATTTATGCACAATAGTACAAAATTAAAACGATTTGCCAGTTGAATGTAACCTGTACACAAAAACTGATAACTGATTTTTGTTGTTTCTACTGCAGGGCAAAATAGGCCAACAGGGCGAAAAGGTAAGAACATATTTATATAACCATGCAGTGTGCTCCATATAGGTTTTTTCGTATTGATAAAGATCAGGCTTTTAGCTGATAAATGAAACCTTTATGGAATGACTGCGATACAAAATGACCAGATGTGATCTGATTTAAAGTGATCGGTTCAATTCGTATTTTTCCACCTTTGGAATTTAAATGTTCTTCTAATTTTCGAACATTTGCCCAAATGTTTGTTGTCCATTTCAGAAACGTATGCCATTGTAAGTCCAGTCTGCAAGCTTTCAGTGTCGTAAAATGTTTTAACCACTCAATTTCGACGTAAAATGGACCATTTGCATTATAGACTAAATTTTGATCTAGACAAAAATTTCATCACAGCTTGAAAGAGCATCACAAAATTAGTAATATTCCAAAGTTTCGTTGCGAAATGTTGTAAAATGCGGATAATATAGCCATGCGAAGTTTGCCGTTTTTGAGTCATTTTTTATTACGCACAGGAAATTGACAGCCCAATCGGGTGTTGGGGCATCAATTTCCCGTTTGTAATACAAAATGACGGCTGAAAATTGCAAATTTCGCAAGGCTATATTATCCGCATTTTACAACATTTCGCAACGAAACTTTGGAAAATTACTAATTTTGTGATGCTCATGAAATTTTTATCTAGATCAAAATTTAGTCTATAATGCAAATGGTCCATTGCGAGTAAAAGTTTATCAAAACTTGATGCTTACACATACGTTGCGCCATGTTTATTCAAGGACTTCAATTTGACTCCCAAATGAGAACAATTTCAATACACAGACAATAGCTTCACATGCAATTCCCAACGGTGGAAAAATGCAATTTCGACCGACCTTTTTAAATCGGATTAAATTTGGCTATTGTTGATCGCAATGACACAAGCATTCGACAGCTAAATGCGTGATCTTTATTGGTATGAAAAAGTAAATAGATGTTTTCGTAATATACCTGCACGATATCATACCATGGTATTTTAACAAATGTTAAGGTTTTTGATAGGGCTTCTCAAACAGACCATTTACGAGTGAGTTTTCTAAAGACGATCAAACTTGCACCAGTCCGAAAAGACGAATGCAATTTGATATCTTTGAAAAACATTGTCTACCGCAATGAATGCGCAATGAATGTCTCCCACGGGAGAGGGGGTGGCGGCTTTGTATTCCTTTGGAAATTTTTTCTTGACCTCATTAAATTAACTGTGGTTTTGATTACGTCAGGAGTTGGGTTAACCATATAAAACTACTCTAAAATGACCGAGTAACAATCCAAACTTTGTTTGAAATGTTTGTAATAATTTCTAAAATTCAGACAGCAATCAGAAATGAAGTTTTGGACCCATGTTGATCTCTCGCTTTCAACGTAAAAAATTAGCGTGACCCCTCTCTTGACGTAACATGCATGTCCTCAATAATCCAAGATGGCGAACAGCTCGGTCGAAATATTTTGAAGACTAAGCAAGATATAAACAATCTGTAATAGAGTTTATGTAGTTAAAAGAGTTCTTTCAAATGAACTAAACTATTTTTTATTAATTGCCAATGTCCTTTGACTTGAATTAGTTGTATATTGATATCAGTGTATTTCATCTCTAGGGTGAACCAGGTGTAGGTGAACCCGGACCCCCAGGGCCCCAAGGCCCACCCGGCCAGCCTGGATCCTTGCTCACAATGTTCAACTCAAGTACACGTCGAGGCCCACAGGGTCTACCGGGTCTTCCAGGTAGACCTGGGTTCAATGTAACTGGACCGCGGGGTAGATTGGGATTTCCTGGAGCGAGAGGAGTCAAGGGGGATACTGGAGTACCAGGAGAGAAAGGAGCGACTGGGGATATTACGGTATGTATGTGATCATTGCTGTCTGTTTTGTTTATAAAGCCTTGAACAATAATGTTGACTTTAATATGGAAGAAATTAAAGGAAGTGATTTACACTGTCATGATACAAGAAATATAAAACAGTTTGTAAGACTCCCCCTTTGTAGAACCAATTAGGGACAACAAATATCGCACTATATGTTTTTTAATGAATGGAATAATCTTCCGCCATTTGTTAAAGATTCCAGTAGCTTTTTAGCTTTTAAAAACAAATATGTTTCAGTATGTAATGAATAACTTGTTATCTTAGTGTTTTAAGTTTGGACTTAATTGACCATTTAATTAACTTTTTGAAGACTTTGAACTTTCTTAAGATGTCTAATTAATTATTAATGTTTTTCATAATCTTGTTGCAAATAAGGTGTATTCTGTTTGGAGTAGATAGCAATAATTGTAGCCAGTATTTTATGTAAATAATTATTTCGTCCTTATTTGAAGAATCTTATGAAAACCATCTTTGATGATAAGGCGTTCTCACAAAAGATTGTTTAAATAAATAAATTGGGGAGATAAGTTTTGCTTTCATGAGAATTCCGCAATGTTTCAGAAACATTCGGCTCACATGCACACACAAGTATCGAGAATAGTCCCTCACCCCGTCAAATGTTGTATACATATTTGAATTACGTGCGGGAAAAATAACCATTTCTAAAGGCTGATTTCCACTGTTGCGTTTTTCGTACGCACGTACACGCACGAAAAACTTTGAATCGTTCTATTTTTTAAATATTTTACTGAAATAAGTTAACAAATGCATACTAAAACTTGCGGAACACTAAATTCTGTTGCTTTATTTATTTGGTTATTTGATAAGTAACATTTAAACGGATTTAAAGTTTTACGTGCGTATACGTACGTATGAAAAACGCAACAGTGGAAATCAGCCTTAAAGCCGAAAGTGGTTTTTGGCTGTATGAAAAATTCAACCTTATCCAGTAATTGTTAACTATCTGCTTTTCAGGCTATACTTGGTCCCAGAGGTGCTCAGGGACCGCAAGGCTTAAAGGGCCAACAGGTTCGTTAAAGTATATTACGACTTCTCTTTCGTTTTCTGCCGTTGTCTTTCTTTCGACTTATACTTAATAACCGACCGTGCCTACAACGCGCGCAAGCCAGTGAGCTATATATATACAAGCAAAAAAGGTTGAACTTCAAAAATCACAAACCTTGAACATTGCGTGCAAGGTATGATAGGTATTGCTTATTTGGAGCCTAAGATTGCATATTAACTTAGTGAATCAAATAGCCCCACATCGAAAGTGATCATTAAGGGTTGATTCCACGATGGCGCAATTCTTCGCGCGAAATCGTGTCCCCACTGCGAAATATGGATGGATGCACATGAGTGATTCTATTGAATTTGTCCGCTCTTTTCGCTTTCGCGGTGAGTAGAACTAACTTCTACTCACTGGCGAAGCGAAATTGTTTCTCGCGAAGCCTAACTTATCTTTTCTGCGCATGCACGATTTCATTTCGTGCGACCGATTTTCGCATTTCGCCGAGAAAAAGCACTCGTGGAATCAGGCCTTTATACGGGTAATAACCGTATATTACAAAGCAAATTTCCCAACTCAAAATGAAAAATTACCCATTATACCTTGCGCACTCAATGTTTAAGGTTTATATTTTTTGATGATTTAAATGAAAAGTGAAGCTTAGCTAATTACTTATTATGGATTATAATTTATTAGGGTGATCCCGGAGTCCAAGGTGAATATGGTTTCAAAGGAGAGCCTGGGCTCAAGGTAGGAATACAACAATGACAGCATTGCGTTAGAAAAACTAACTTTAATTTATTTATACTGAGTGGAAACATCCCTATCTGCATCGAGAATTACTTTTTATATATTTCTTCAAGCTTTTTCAGGATTCTTCCCAACTTATTCAACTACAATATTTTTGATGAATTTATCCTGAACAAGTTGTAGCTGAGTTGACTCGACTCGTTTGCGTCAAAAATCAACAAGACGAGTCACTTGGGACTGTCGACTCGAGTTATTTTTCGTATTCGAGTCGAGTCGCACAAAATGATTCGAGTCCGAGTGAATTGGAATGACTCGACTTGTTACAACACTGTGTTTAACACTGAGTCAGTCGCCTCAAACGTTTCTTACAAATCCTTCAAAACTTAGAATTTACCTATGCAAAATTCCTACTGTGATCACAGAATTACTTTGAGTAACTACATCTTAAGCTGCCGGACGGAGAAAAGCTGTGCTGTTTGGTAGAGTCAAACTGGAAGCACTATCCTCACATGTGAATAAGGGAAATTATAATCAGACATGATCTAGATATCTCTATCTATTTGCTCATAATTTCTGATTTCGATTTTCAGGGTAACGCCGGTGAAAAAGGTGACCAGGGACCTTCTGGAGTTGATGGGGCAGCAGGGCAACCTGGGAAAAGTATTAAGGTAGAATTATTGTTTGAAGTAAATAGTCCTTTTTTGGCTACATTTCAAATGGCGATATATCTTGAGCACTAACATTTTTTTGAAAAGTAAATTTAATTTCGAGTACAGGAAGGCTTAAAACGCATTTTGAATTTATACGGTGCAGATTTAGAAGTTGTTAATTTTATGAACTATCAAAGTACCAGACAATTTGTAGAGAGTTTAAGCTTTGCGTGATACGTCAAACGCCAGGCAAAGAAAAATTTTACGGTTCTGGCAATAAAGAGTAAATGAACTTGCTGTTTTAAAACTGAAATAAATCATTATTCTTTCGACGCAAGAAAGAAAATATGAAACGAAAACGTTCAACGAAAATTTTGCCAAGAAAGTTCGAACCTGCCTTTGCCGTTCCCTGGAACGTGAAGCTTAAACTCCCTATTAAGTCCGACGCGCAACCTCTAGAGCTTGGACGTTTTGCCATTTAGCCTTTAACGCACTTCTTGTAAAGAGTATGTAGGAAATCAATCATGCATAAAATCAGTTATTACGTACAACTAATACGACAAAAAGTCCAGGTTTTAGGGGTCTTGCGGTTGGACTTACACCTGTATTCTAGTAAAAGCTCACTCACACTTAAAGAGTGTAGGTTCAATTCGAACTTCCCTTGAGTCATGCCAGTGCTGTTTTTGAATAGCTGGAAGGTTAGTCTCGTACCTTACTATGTGACTACTCACCCTCCAGCCAGGAGCGACCC